TTTTTTTTTTTTGGTTTTTCGAGACAGGGTTTCTCTGTGGCTTTGGAGCCTGTCCTGGAACTAGCTCTGTAGACCAGGCTGGTCTCGAACTCACAGAGATCTGCCTGCCTCTGCCTCCCGAGTGCTGGGATTAAATGCGTGGGCCACCATCGCCCGGCTTGAGGTAGGGTCTTGATGTGCAGCCCAAACTCATGATTCTTCTGCCTTTACCTTCTGAATGCTGCCATGTGGTGCATATGTGGAGGTCAGAGGGCAGCTTGTGGGAGCTGGAACGGGCTCCCTCCTTCTACCGTGTGGGTTCTGGGATGAAACTTTGGTCATCAGTCTTGGTGACAAAACCTTCACCTATGGGCTCACTCACCTTGCAGATCCTGTTATTTCTGTTAACTTTCAACAATGAGCATAATTAATTACTTCTATAAAAGTTCTTCTTTTTTTTTTTTTTTTCTAGTACAAGGGCTTTAAGGATACCAGGCAAACACTGTGCTCACATTCCTGGGCTCAGTGCTCTCTTCAGATTTTGAGACAGATCCTCCCTAAATTACCTAGGCTGACCTTGAACTCATGCTGTAACTCAAGCAGGTCTTAAATGTTAGAGCCTCCAAATTCCCAAGCAGCTGGGATCACAGGCCTGTGCTATCAGGCCCAATTTATTCAAGAATATTTCAAAACACAGTTTGGGCTAGGTGTGGTGGCCAGGAAACAAAGCAGGCTTTCTCAGGAGTGCCTGAGATGACACTGTTACTTCCCAGCCACAATTCTCAGAACCATGGGTCCCAAAAATTGCCAAATAAATCTCTGATACAGTGTGATTTCATACCTCTTGGCCTAGATTGACAGGTGTACTAAATAGCATCTTCATTAAAAAAAAAAGAAACAATAGTTTATTATCATCACTGATAGTGATAGTGAAGGTCGACTGCCTCCCCAGGTGCCCCAGCCTTCCTGCCTGAGCCTGGGGAGCTACTTTGTGGTGGTCCCTCATGTTGGGGGTAATGTCCTTGTTCATCTGATTCCAGTTCCATTGTTCCTGGCTCAGGGCTAAGCTCCACCTCGAGATGCCATCGGTATGCTCTCCTCTAGGCGACTGTCACCTCCAGCATCTGAGAAACCACCGCCTCCAGAGGCTGGGGCCACATCCACTTGGATGACACCATGCACTTGGGAGAGCTGTGGGCTGTCCAGACTGGCAATGAGCTGGCGGGGGCCTGGCCGCACAGGCACGAATGTCTGGCGTAGTGTGACTGTCTCATTGCCCCCGATATCCCTGTAGACAGAGACAGCATCATGAGCCTTGAGTAACTAAGGGTAAAGTCAGCAGCAAACATTGGCCCAGAGTGGCCAGGAAGGAAAGAGCAAGAGGTGGGGCCATCCAGGCATTTCTGAGTTCAGCTGGAATCTACACCCACAGCCCGGACAGAGCCTCCACCCCAGGCCACCTCCACACTTCCACACCTAGCTGTCTCCCCAGCACCTGGCCTCCTCCACTCCTGTTCCCACTGGTCAGAGACTACTAATAATTGGCAGCAGGCAGCAGCCTCGATTCCCGCTGCCCCTGCTGTAAAACCACACCTCCTCACAAGGGTTTCAAGGCCAAGGGAACTTTAGTGCAAGACCTGGAGGCCCAGCCAGGATCTCAAATGCTGTCAGTTTTGCCAGAGTAGCAAGCTAAAGAAATGGGACACAGCTGTCCTCACGAGGCACAGCTTCATGTACTAAGTTAACAGAAGGATGTTATCCGTGGAAAGGGTCGTCCCGATTTTTTTGTTTTTGTTTTTGTGTTTGTTTTTCAAGACAGGGTCTCTGTGTAACAGTCCTAACTGTCCTGGAACTAGCTCTTGTAGACCAGGCTGGCCTTGAACTCACAGAGATCCGTACGCCACCACTGCCTGGCAGATAATTGACATTTTTAAAATGACACACTCTCATATCTGTGTGTGTGTTATGTGTGTGATCCTAACACCAGTGTCATCCTCTCCTCGGGGAGCTCTGAAAATATATTCCCAGAACCCCTCTCGGGATCAGGATTCACTAGACTCACTGGCCGTCTCACCTTTCCTCCAGTCTGCTAATCCCTGGGAAGTGAACTAAATCCCTCAAGGGTTGGGCTTCCTTGGCACTTCTGAAAGAGAAGTCAACTCCCTAACCTGCCGTACAGGCTCACTCTGACTCAGCTCCCACCTGCTGCATCACCCCACCATTCTTCCTCTGGACCAGCCCCATGGGGTATCTCTCCTCGCCCAAAGTCACCTCCACTATGTTCTGCAGTGTTGGTGGTGTCTGCCCTGAGCTCCGAGTTCTGACAACTTCATCTCTACTCTTTCTCTAAGTCCTGGCTCACAGCACTGCCTCACAAGGGCGCCCTGAGTGCCTTCTGTCCCCAAGAAAATGAATCTCTTTTTTTTCTAGGCTCTTCCTTCAGTCTACATACTTAATTCTTTTACTTACAGGATCTTTAGAAAGGGTCTCACGAAGCCCAGACTAGTCTCAAATTTACCGTGTGATGGACACTGGCCTTGTGTTTTCAGCCCTTGGGTCTCGGCCTCTCCAGTACGATAATTACAGGTATTTATCGTCTCCCCTGACACAGTGCACGTTAAATCAGAGCATGGTTCATTTATGTGGAGTCAGTTCATGACTGTTAGATTACCTCCTGATTCTTCATAAACTTGTACTTCCTATTCCCAGTCCAACCCAAGCTTGCCTTGGGGTCCCTCTTTTGGGCACTAAACCCCACACAGTAGTCTGCCAACAGAATGAGCCAGCATCTTTTAATTCTGAAGATTAGGGTTCTTTGGAATGAAGCACTTAGCTTGGAGGCTATTTCTGAGGTTTCTCTGGACCAGTGTTTAGGACAAGTTACTTCTTTGGTCCTCACTTGCTGGTTCATAAGACAGAATGAGTGCAAAGTGAGATGATGTGGCTGGGTGGGTGTCACGACAGGAAGTAAAAAATTAAGTCTATAATTCAACAGGTTATGCTTTGGCTGGCTAAATATTTGTGTTCTTACTTTTCCTCATTTCTCTATAGATGGAAGGTTAAAGGTTGCTTAGTCATACGGTAACCTTCAAAAGTCTACTATAATTGAGTTGTGACATTTCAGAAGCTAACTTAGATTACAACCACTAACATCATTCCCACCTCCTCTAAACAAAACCCTGCTATCCACCTTCCAGGTAGGAACGTCAGAATCTTCCCTAGCCCAGGAAACGTTCTTATAGCCCAGGCGAGGCCCTTGCCACACCCCTGTTTTTGAGTTTGAGCTGAGAGCAAGTCAGCTGCAAAAGCTGGGATGTCCCTTAACATCCCAGCTGGTTGGTAATAAAACTCTCCTTGGCCGCAGCCATCCCAGATCTCTGTTTCTTCCTCCTTCCTCTCCATCCTTCACAGGCAGGTGCGTGCACCCATGTCCCCTTTGTGGTATGCATAATTTCTAAATGATACAGACATTATTGTCTACGTCTTTGTTTTCCTTGGTAATTAATCTTAACTCTAAGTTGCTTCAGCCTTTTCCTTAAAGCTAAATGTTCTCTTAGCAAATGGACGGCCGTCACTAAAGTTGCCAGAGTGTGATTCCAGTTCTGGGGGAATTCCCAAGAACTTCCAGCCTCCCTGGTGACACAGCCAACCGGAGGAGTGAGTCCTGGAATGTTTATTAAGTGGCCAGTCACCAGGCTGGGGTGGCACACCTTGTGGTATAATTGGGTTCCATGCCACAGCCTTTGATGTGTAAATGAGCGGCAAAGTAACACCCAACTTGGAATCTGATATATCCCCTTGAGGCTACCAAGTGTCCTGGAGGCTCTCTGCTCCAGGATCTCAGCGACTAAGAAGCAGCAGAGTGTTCAGGAAGACTGCCAGCTCAGGCATCACCCAGCTCCTGCAGTGGAGACCTTGATCGAGAGGGTGACGCCAGGATGCCATACAAGCCCTGCACCCAAGACAGAGGCCAGCTCTCCTAGCACCTAGCACAGTGGCCCTGTCCTTCTAGGGGGAGCATCCAGACAGTCAGAGGCCTCGTGAGCCTGGCCAGGGTGTATGCCTCTAGGGAGCCGAAGACGAGACTCCTTCCTTTGTGGTGTGAATGCAGCTGACTGATATCCCTGGACACATCTTACCCCTGCCATCTGAGCTGCTAGGGACCCTTGTAGGGTCTACTTGGTGCTACTTTGTTATATCAAAGCCTCTGAGTCCCAGGCTAGGCCAAAGAACAAGACCATAAACTCACCTTTGGCCTGATAACAAAAGTCATGGCTACCAGCATAAGGTATGAGGGGAAAGGCAGGCTAGGGAAAGGCCCTCTCACAGCCCCTCTCTTAGAACAGGTCACCCACTCCTATCAGAAGAAAGCTGGTTTAGACGATCTGCCCTCTCCTTCCTGCCATGCTTTTCCTGGGCGGGATGAGCAACAAGCGTCTGTGCCAGGTGACAGCAACAGGCACAGAACATGAGTGTTATGTGCCCTCACTGGGCCCAGAGCCACACCAGCAGAGATCAGATCCAAGCTGGCTGAGGGTCAGGAGGCAGGGCTCACTTCTCTGTTCTCATGGCACCGACCACTGAGCAAGCCAAGTGTCTGGTGGTTTGTGCTCCTGAAGGGGAAAGAGAGCCTGCCTGCCCTCATGAGCTGTGAAATGAGGCTTAGCCATTCACAAGGTGGGGCAGTGAGGGCCACAGTGAAAAAGTAACTAGTAGCGGAGACTGACTAAACCACACGCTGGACTAACTAGCCCAGAGGCTTTGTTATGGTCACTGGGCTGAGACGAATAGAGGCACCTGGCTAGGGAGACCTAGTCAGGAGCATGCAGCCGGGCTCGAACCTAAGCCTTTAGAGTTCGCAGTTCTCCGTTTAATTATATGACGGTCTCTAATGTACTTTAAAAGGCCTGCATGATCTCCAAATGAGATAATATTCCTGAAAGTGCATGGTCAACATTTCCATATTTGCCAAATGTTAGGGATGGGCTACTAATGATTCCCATGTGAGCTTCAGCTCCCTAATTAGGTGAGGCAGGGCAGGGACGCAGTGCAACACGAGGCACTCAGCAGGCCCTGGGCTGAATTGACCAGAGTTGCCAGAGACTGCTAGCTGGCCCCAAGCTGCTCTGTGGGGTCCTGACCAAAAAGAGAAGCAAAATTGAGGCTCGGGGCAGCCTGGGAGGAAAGGAGGGTAGCAGCAGCGTTAGAGAAGTCAGACTCACCCAACGTTGAGGACCTTGGGTCTCTGTAACCCAGAACCTTCAAGCCGGAAAACGACGTTGGTGAGGGTGGTGGGCAGGGGGTTCTTGAACACAATCTGTACTTCACATTCCTGGCCAACTACTGCTGCTCCCAGTAACTGAGGGAAACAGAGACCTTATTAGAGATCCTGACCAAACATGTAGGGCCCATATTTTGCACCCAAAGGAGAAACATGTTAGAACCGAAATCTCGCCGAGCCCCACATTTCCATCCCTGAAAGAAACCACCTCAAATACCAGGGAGGAAACTCATATCCACTCTACACCTCGAGGCTGCGGACTCAGACCTGAGAACCTGTTTTACCGATGAGGAGACCAAGGTCAGGTCTGGTCCCTAACCTTATCAGGGCAACTTGCTTCAGGCTTGCCCATCATTTCCCATAGCCCCAGGCTCCTGTTCTCTATTCACCCCTTGGGTACCAGAAAGTCACACTCACCGTAAGAGAGAGGTCTGGGGTGCGCAAACGGAAGGTGTGCTGCTTAGCTAATACCTGCCCACTTTCCTTGACGTGACCTGAGACATTGAGCAACATTGCCCCCTGGTCCACGAGGTGGGCCCTGTATTCCTTGTAGCTCACAGGCATGGTCACAGAGTCCGCTGGGAAGAAAATGCATAGTAATCACAGGCCTTTCCTCCCAAATCCAGCCTCCCAGAAGTGCTCTCTGTTGCTATAGGGCCTCCATGTCCAAAGCCAATGTGCTTGGACACCCAGAGGCAGGGCTGGGGAGGGAGCACTATCTAGGGACAGGGTTAGAGGGAGAGTACAATCTAGGGGCAGGGCCGGGGAAGGAGAATCTTCTAGGAGAAGGACTGAAGAGGAAGCACTCTCTAGGAGATAGATATAGGAAAGTATCATCTGGGGCAGGGCTGGGGAGGGAGCACCATTTAGGGACAGGGTTGGGGAATGAGCACCATCTAGGGGCAGGGCTTGGAAGGGAGCACCATCTGGAGCAGGGCTGGGGAGGGAGCACCATTCAGGGACAGGGCTGGGGAGAAAGCACTCTCCAGGAGATAGAGATGGGAAAGTACAATCTGGGGCAGGGCTGGGGAGGGAGCACCATCTAGGGATAGGGCAGGGAAGGAGCATCATCTAAGGGCAGGGCTGGGGAGGGAGCACCATCTAGGGGCAGGGCTGGGGAGGGAGCACTATCTAAAGGCAGAGATGGGGAAGGAGTACCACCTAGGGGCAGGGCTGGGGAAGGAGTACCACCTAGGGGCAGGGCTGGGGAAGGAGCACTTACAGGCTCCCGGGGCTAGTGCCACTTCCTTCTTGGTCTCCTTGAAGGTAGGCCCAGTGACACCAGTGTAGTAGGTAACAGAGAGGTAGAGGTGCAGCTTTACGGTGCGGCGGCTACTGCCATTATTGGTCAGCATCACGGAGACTGCCAGATCCTGTCCCATCACAGCGTCCTGTGCCTCCACCTGCATTGCCACGTCCTCAGCAGAGTCCCGAGTGGCATACACATTGGGCTTGCTGCCATGGGCAGCAGCCTTCTCCACAGCCCTCCGCTCTGCTTCTGAGCCTGAGGGTTGAAGTCAGGGGTGAGTTCAAGCCATTGCTGGGGTAGGCCAATGCTCTTGAGGAACCCTCAGCCAGGAGCTGGCTGGCTGGGTGGGAAGAATGTTACCTTCTGGGTGCTTATAGATGTGTGTGATGTCTTCCCGCATATTGGAGCTGATTGCCTTTGTGACAATGAGCGTGCCAATGGCTTTTTCCTCCACATACACAATCTTGAAGCTGCCATCATCCTGTCGCTGCCAGTACACCTTATCACTGTTAACCTGTGAGAGAGCAGAGAAAAGCAGGACTATAGTGGGCCAGGAAAACAGGCCTGACCCCCAGAGCCTTCTTCCCTCAACCCCAGGAGCTGCAGGCAATTGAACCAGCCACAGTCAAGGAGCAGGGAGGAAGCTGGCCTAGGAGGCTCCTTGTAGCCCATTTTGGCATTAATAACAGTTTTCCCTTATGGTTATTTGCTGGCTTTACAACTTATGAAGCAGCCCCATATCCATTATCTCTTTTGATCCTGAGTACAGGAAGCAAGGCAGCCATTATTATGTCCTTTTTACAGCTGAGGAAACTTAGACTCTAGAGTGAGTGACTTGCCCAAGGTTACACAGCTAGCCAGTCAGCGGTGAAGTCAGGACCAGAGGACTCAGGACCGAAGCCGGGGCTCTGGTTGCTTCAGACTGCTGAGGAGGCACCTGGAGCCCAGCCCTCACCTCGGCGAAAATGAAGGGCGTGTCATACTTCATGTAGACTAAGCCGTTCTTGATGGACTCCACGGAGCAGGGGCCACAGCAGAAGATGCCTGGGAAGTGAGACAGGTGATGGGGCTAAGGAGGCCCAGAGGCATGGCGGGAGCGGGAGGGGTCAGGGACAGCCTGGCTAACAGCTGGACAGACAGCCATAGAGCCAGGCTGTCAGCATGCCCTCTGCACTGGCTGGCTGCTCTGTCCACCATCCGCAGAGCTCAGGACCCCCTCCCCCAATCTTTCCTCACAGTCAGTTCAGGGCCCACATTGGTTCTGGTTGGCTGAGAGAGCAGTACGCCACCATCACTATTTCAGAAACACCTCTGCTGTGCAGCACACTCTGACCTCTTTACTGGGAAGCGAGAAGGGTGATGGGAAAGAAGAGACTGTCCTTATTGTACTCAGGAGGGCTTCCGAGAGAGGGTGAACTGGCTGCAATAGGTTGGCTGGGACAGAAAGTGCAAACAGGAAGTGAGGGCTATCCAACAGGAAAGGATCCTAACACGGAATGCTCTGGCCTCCTCTTTCAGATGGGGAAACAGGCTCAGCCAGTGAGGAGGCTGCCCTGTCTTAAAAGGCAGCTGGAGACAGCTTCGATTTACCCAGTAGCTCTACTGTTGTAGGCATGTTGCTAGTCCTCTTTGAGACACGGTGTCCATCCATCCACACCATATGGTGTATACACACAGCATTCTATTCAAGAACATGGCACACAAAGATGCTTCCTTGCCAATATCACTTGTCCAAGCCATGGTAGACTTAGGTCCTGGCCATTCTGCCCAGAGCCCCTGCCTGACATCCACCTCATTATTTCTTAGAGCTGAACCAGAGGTCAAGTTTCCCAGTACACTGCAAGCATTGCTGGGTTATGCAACCCAGGACCCCTTTTACATAGATGATGGGCAGGGAGTGGTCTGGGAAGGGACCAGAAGAAGAATGCAAGTTAGGCCAAGGCTATGTACTCGAGGAAAGGGGAGGCGAGAAGAAGCAGCAGGTAGACTGAAAGCCAGAGGGAGAGGAGGCTGTGAGAGCAGAGCAGACGTCAGGTATCACCTCTATGGAGAGTAATAAGAGACAAGCAGCTGACAGGTCATGCCACCCCAGGTCATGTCAGAGCTATAGAGCTATTTCCCTTTAACCTGTCTGAGCCCTGCTTTCTGTATACTGTACATGTATGCAGTGCACAGGGGAACAAAAGGGAGACCAGGGTTCATTCTCCTGGAGGAGACCCAGACAAAGTTATAATACCTACAAGAGCCACCTTTTACCAGTGTCCCACTGGCTTAGGATGGGTTCCAAACATGGGGGACCTTAAGAATCACCAAGGGAATTTTTGAAACAGAGAGTGAAAAACATGGGTACAGCCCGGGATTAAAGACTTTCTGAGCATGCTCAAGGCCCCAGGTTCAAAACCAGGACTGGGAAGAAATAGATACGCCCATCCTCGGAAATTCTGATGGATCAGTTTTGATGTTCAGGTTTTGGGGTGGGAACCCCTCCAAAATAGAAATTTACTTTATAAACATCTAATAGAAAATAAATAACTTTTACATCTTATGGTATTCAATAATTCTGTTTTCTCCTTCCATGTACAGAGGTCATATTACTTATAACTTTTTCTTCATGTGTAGTGTGTGTGTGTGTGTGTGTGCTGGGAATTGAATCCAGACCTAATTATGACTTTTAGACATATACATAAGTGTGTGTCCTTTAATTAATTATATCTGGAATATGTAAGTTAAAAAGCAAGTAAGAATAATTGGTTTTTCAGGGGAAGGAAACGTGTTACTGAATATTCTTGAATCTTCTCTAACTCTGGAACTATCTGAGTATTTTAGTCATTATAAATTATAAAATAAAATGAAGTCAAGTAGCTATATGAAGAGAAGAAAATAAACTAATAGATTCACGGTGGTTCAGTTGATAAGTTCACGTGGGGAACTGTTGGGTCAAAGGGCTTGGCTCTCCAGCCGAGACAGGGGTATGAGGACAGGGTCGGGGCAAGGCCTGCCTTACCACTGCTGGTCTCCTGGGGTGTAGCATCCACAACCTGCCACCCGTCAAAGCCTGAGGGCAGATCTGGCCTCTTCATCCAGCAGTCATTCCACACATGGAAGTTCCTAGAGGGGCACACAGTTCCCATTCAGGTCCTCCCCAGTTCCCATCCCGACCACAGCTCAGCATCCCAGCCTCTGACCACCTTCATCTTTAGGACAAGTGGCAGGGCCATTCCTCGCCCTGTGCTCACCAAACAGAATCGTGGTTCAGATGCTCAAGAGGCTTCATGTTCTCATCAAAGTAGATGTCCATGGTGAGGGACGTGTCTGTGTCGTGTGCGGAGTTGAAGTTGGTGACAGTACGGGTCGCAAGGCCCAGGCACCGCAGCACTGTGGAGGAGCCAGGGTTAAGGGCGGGGGCAGAGGCTGGCTGTAGGTATGGCATCAGCAAGAGGGAAAGGGCAGCTGAGTCTGCCAAGCTTGGAGGGACCACCAGAGTTAGGGGTCAGAAGACCCAAGTATCTTTGGGTTGCAAAGCAGTTTGGGTTACAAAGCCACCTGCTTGACTCAAGCCCTGACTATTGCTTCTTCTTTCTCTCCCTTAGGCCTCTCTCGGTTGTTAACACTAATTAATGATAATTAAGGTCATTCTATCATCCACCCTTAGTGGTGCCCTATCCTGTAGCCACAGTTGGGCTCGACAGAAATGGAACCCTTCCCTCCTTACAGAGATCAGGCTATTCCTGACCCAGTCCCTCTACTACCTGTGGTGGTAACACCAGCAAAGACCCAGCACTGGCCATAGGGGACAGAATAGCCGGTGCGCAGGTAGCTAAGCAGGATCTCCACGCTGCCCACCCACGCTGAGGGGTTGGTGCCTCGAGAGTAATCGCCAGTCCAGTTCCCAATCAGGACTCCGTTGTCATCCAGGGAGTTCACCTGCCCAGGAAAAGACAGGGTGTGGCTGGGTTTGGGGAGGTGCTCAGGATCTTCTGGATTCCCCAGCCCCTAACCCTGCAACCTCAGGAACTAGACACCAGCCTAAACTCCACCCACTTCCCCCCAACACACCTGCCCCCCACGCCCCTTGCTGTAACGCCAGAATGTGAATACTGGGTGTGCCAAGTTTGGGGCTTGGCCCCACATTCCAAAGGAGCTGGTACAGAAAGCATGAAAGGCGTGGTGGGGTACAGGCAGGGAAGGGAAAAAGAGGAATGAACCCATTTCCCTCACTCTCAATACTCTCTTTAGGTGGGGGAATCCATAAAGGGCAGGGCAGGAAGACACAGAAAGGGCTTATGGATATAAGAGTGCTCACCATGGCAGAGATGACCCGGCAGACACTGACTGGGTCCCCACGACCTCCATATGGCATTCCCCTCCGATCCAAGATGTACAGACAGGCATCCAGCACCCCGTGATCAAACTGGAAGCAAGGAGGGAAGAGGTGACCACAGTCCCTCAAAGCGATGCTCAGACCACAGGCTAGCATCCTGCCCAGTCCACCACATCCCTCCCTTCCATCTCCCTCGAGTGCACAAGGCCCAGCCCAGCCATACCTGGCCATAATTCCAGGTCCGTTCGCCAATCTGTGCTTCTGTCCCATAGTAGATTCTTCCAGACTCATTAAGCACATATTCTTGCCGCCAGTCCTCATGGTCCACGTACACCAAGTCCTCTGTATCCCCAAAAGCACATAGCAAATTCTATCCATTTTCTTCCTGGGCCCTACCTTCCCCTCAGCCAGGTCTATAGAATTCATAGCCACAGAAGAAGGTGGGGGTGGGGATTCTTCTAGCCTGACAGGACTGCTCGCTCTAAGGAAGGATGGTGAGAAAGAAGGTTGGCTGTGGCCAGGGTCCTTCATCGGAATAAGTCAGGTGGGCGTCTCTTTTCTACAGTGGGCCTCTATCTCCTCTCCTGGACAATGAGAGTGGGTGTCTTTCCTTATGACCAGATGTTCAGGCATCTGATCCCAGGAAAGGAAGCCTGACCTACTTGCCCTCTGCTCTTGACCCCAGCTGGTTTACCTGGGCACCAGGGGTTGAAGAGGATGTAGATCTCATTGCGGGGGTCAAAGGGCAACTGGAACTCTCCAGCTTCAGAGCGTGTGCGGACAGTGAGTTGAAATTTGCCGATGATGGCGTTAGGGGAGGTATGGACGCGCAGGTTTACGTTGTGTCCGCTGGTCTTGGTCACTTGGGCCTTCCAGCCATCACTGCCCCCTCTGCCCACCGGGATGATCACGTGGGTACCCTTGCCCACCTCAGGACTGTTTCCTAGGATAACAAGGTCAGCATTTAGGTAGTGAGAGAGCTGCTGGAAGTGGGAGAGACACTAAGAGTTTGTTCAGCCCCACCCAAGAGGTCTGTGAGCCAATTTGTATGTCCCTAAGTAGGGTTACCACACCAGCTTGTGACAATCTTTTCAGAGCAGCATGGTGGCCGCCCCATGCTCTCCTGCGTGTCAGGGCAGAGCCCCAGTTCAACATCCCAAACCTGTTCCCCCGACAATGAACTCAAGTAGGGAGAGGACACTGGGGCCACTGTCACCCTCTGGCTCCCGCCCTGTCCTACTGAACTGAAGGGAAATTAAGTTGGGTCCATTTGCCCCATAAGAAAGAACACTCCAGATACCAGAGGTCAGTGTGGCCTGCTCCCTGGGGTCACGGCTTCTAGAGCCCAGAGCATTTCTGGAGGTGGTAGGGGGACTTGGGAAATTAGAGGCTGGGGTGTACATGGCTGGGCTCTAATCAGAGGGTAAGAAGAGTCACCCGCCCCCAGCAGCTGTATAATCACCAGCCTGGGCAGTCAACGGTCACTAAGCAACATGGTGAGGGAGGCACCTGCCTTGGGCCATGGCCTGGACTGGCAGAGAGACGGGCACACGGGGGCTAGGCGAATGAGCGAGCAAGACCCAGAAAGAAGGGCACACCGAGCCAACAATGCCGAAAGACAAAGAGGCCAGCCCGGAGAGGAAGTGCTGTGTGGTAGCTGCCCCTGGCGGCTTGAGGAAAGCCAGCTTGGGCAAGCTGCAGCACCAAAGCCTCTCAGAGAGCACCACCAGGGGAACACGAAGAATCTTGCACCTGCCTCTCCCGGCAGAGATGAGGAGTGACAGGGAGGAGCCTAAAGACCTCTTTAACCTAACACTAGCCTTCCCTCCAACAAGCCCTGGGCCTTGCCCCTTCTCATTCCAGGCCTCACTCACCGATGAGAAGTTCGAGGGCAATGCGATCAGAGGACTCATATTCTCGGTTCAGGATGAGGATCATGTGGAAGGGCTGCCCACGGCGCACAATCAGCTCATCATACTCAAACTCATCCGTGTGGTGCTCTCGGCGGTTCTGGTCCGAGCGTGAACACAGTAGATCCACACCCGTCACAACCAGCATTCCCTCTGTAAGGCCACATTCCTGGGTCAGTGAAGAGTCCACAAGGAACCCAGACCCCCCCTCCCCCCAGAAGTCGTTCAGCCCCGCTGGAGATGCCAGGATAAATCTTAGACCCCCCATCAAGGCAGATAGCCTCACCTCGGATGGTGCCATCTCCAGCTGCGTTCACAGCACTGCCCCGAGACTCAGGTCTCCGGCCGCCCCGGGAGCTGGACCCTCGGCTTCTGGAGCCAGAAGGTTCAGGCCCCCAGTCATCATCAGCTCTGTTCCCGCAGGAGCAGCAGCCACAGCAGCGAGCCCAGAAGGAGCGGCCTCCTCCTCGGCGGGAACGCGAGCGTCTGTCTGGCTCTGGCTCTGGTTCCGGCGACGGGGTGGTAGGGGGCTGCCAGGGGTTCCAACCCCAGCGGCCCGTGTCTGAGCGAGGACCTTCCATTGTGCCTGTGAAGAAAAGGCATGGGACGCTCTAACCCACTCAGCTCTCCTGTACCCCAGATGCCCACCCCACCCACCCAGAAACTCTTCAGATAAATTGGTTCAGTAACAGCTAGGTGACTGAGATAATTTTATTCTAACCCAGAGATGCCCCCAAAGACCCCATTTGGTCACCCAGAAAAAGCACCCCATACTGCAGAGAAAAACCTCTTCACCTTGCTATAGGTACTCTCAAATCTCATCCCAAAGCAATGTCCAGTGGAGAAACCCTCGAGGATCCACCTGAGGAAATGCACTGTTCCCTAAGTGGACACCTGTCACACCTGTCACAGCTGTCACAGCCCCAAACCCCAAACCCCGTACTGGTCCCTCCACCTGCTGGCTTCTCAGTTTAGAGGTCCAACCTCTAGGACCATTTAACAGAGTTCTTCCCATAAAGACAGGTAGGTGGATTGGGGCGGGAGGCAAGGTCCCCCACACTCCTCACGTCAGGGCAAACTTCAGGCAGAGTTGTGGAGAGGGCACAGCAGGCTTAAGCAGAGCGGCCCCACGAAACCCGGGTCTCAACCCACAGCAGGTGCGCACTGACGAGCGTTCCTTTCTGAGTTTGGGCTGTGTGTCCCACCAAACGACGACTTGCTGTGGCTCAGCACCGAGATAGACGCCCGAGCCTCTCACCTGGCAGCGGTGTTGGGGATGGCACCACTGGGTCCCGAGCCCGGGTGGAGCAGGTCAGGGCGTATGGGACGGGACCAACAGGCTGGACGCAGCCACGCGAGTGGAAGGTGTAGGGCGGGCCGGGTAAGTGGTTTATGAGGGGAGGGTGGGCGGGGCTGAGCTTCTGGGAAAAGGGGTAGGATGGTTGCTTCATCCCCTGTCGGTCAAGAGGCCAGTCTCTGGGGGTTGTCCCCAAGTAGGGGCGGGACTTTCTCCTTTCTAGGAACTGAGATCATGATAAAGAGGGGGGTCGGGTCAAGTCCTGTCAGACCTGGGGCTGAGGTGAAAACGGAAGGTTTTCGGCCATGAACCCCACACCAACCTGACTCGTGCCACATCGCGCGTTCAGAGCGCACAGAGAAGGGCTCCTCTTCCACTCTCAGCCCTGTAGGGCAGATTTATTTCGAAGCTGGAGACGCTCGCTTACTTGTGGTACCCAGCAGGCTTGGCCTTGTGGAAATGGTCTCTGGGCCTGGAACTCGTTTTTGCCAGGAAGATCCCAGTACCCCAGGCTGCAGACAGATGACATCAGCAACCAGGCCTTCAAACTGGCTCCACCTGCCAGTCCCTGACCAGCCAGCTCTACCAGATCTTCTCATATCCCTCAGTTACTGCACTCCCGTCTGTCTCTCCTTCCAGCCACTCCACAGCCCCCGGGATGAGTGGAGCCGTCCCACACTTCCTTCTGTCTCCTAAGTCTGAGATTAAGGAGTTCACAAAAGGAACACTCTTGTTTCCCCCTCCCATCTTGGAAGTTTAGGTCTGGGCGGACAGGGGCCTCCTCTCCAGGCTACCTGGTATTCCCATCTTTCACTGCGTCTGTCTTGGCAGCTGGAGGCGAGCATTTCCCCTCATTTCTAAGATTCTTCTTGGGAATCCAGACCAATCAGCTCCAGGAACCTACCTTCTGTACTTCCTAACTCTAGCTCTGGGAGGAACGTCAGAGATGTCATTAAGAGCCCCAAGGCAGTAAGGAGCTAGGCATCTTTAGGCAGGCTCTCCTTGGGTCTCGTCCTTGGCACCACCAGCCAGAACCTCTTACTCTATCACACTGGTGTTCCAGCTCTACCGACAGGTCACCAATCAGAGGACAGTGAAATCAGGGTTGGCAAAAAAGACCCAGAAGCAAATGTGGCAACAATCTGTTTGGACATGTATCCTGTGCAGAGGTATCTTGGGGAGCAGGAACAGAAGCTCCAAATCTCCACCCACACTAACTTTTTGGTTTGTTTTGAAATGGTTTCCCATATAGCCCACAGGCAGATCTTGAACTCACAGCAATCCTCCTGCTTTAGCCTCCCAATGCAGGGATTACAGAAGAGGGGGCCCACAGACCAAGCATCATGTGGGTTTTCCCCTGTTGAGCTAGCAAGTCCTGGAACCTAGCAGAGGTTTTGCGCCACTTCCAACATCCTCAGTTTAAACCAGGGGAAATCAAAATTCAAGGCCGGTATGTGGCAGGTCAGCCAAAGGGCTTCACCGTGAGATTGTTTTGCTTATCACTGTGGATACGAGAAGAGGTAGAGCTTCAAGGGGCGGGGCATGTGAGCCCACATGCGCCCAAGCAGGTCCCAGAGAACCAGGAAAATGCCTGGTTTGCCAAACTCTTCTTCTAATCAGTCATCCTCTCTCCCCGCTAAGCCAAGTTTGACTCAGTGCCCTAACCCCTGAGCCACTCCCTGGAGGCCTTGCACCCTGTAGCTTTCAAAGCTTGAACACAGTGCAGAGCGGTGTGGGTGCACCTCAGGAGTAGACACCCATCTTAATACCTCAGGGCCAGGCAGAGCTCTGTTTAATCATTTCATACTAATAAAGAAATAGGAAAAGAAGCTAAGCCACTAAAGCAAGGTGTTTAGTATCCAGCTTCAGCACGCAGCTCAGCGGCCTTGGGGAGTCGTAGCAGTTTCTTCATCAATTCGAACGTTCTAATCTCGCATCCCCGAGAGTGTATGAGGATCTAATGGGATCGGATATTTCCAAGGACCTTTCGACCATAGAATGTAATTCACAGGGACCAAGGTTGTTTCAATAGGGTGGAGCAAGGTGCCTTGACGCAGTCTTCCAGAAACTGAGTTGTGAATAAAGTGAGAGTTGGGGCAGAGTCTGAAAGTCGCAGGGGTCACGGGAGTTTTCACGATCTCTTCCAGCTAGAGTCAGCTGTTCTGAAGCTCAGCCCAAGCCAGAACCTGATCCCAACTCCTATCCTAGCCTCGTTTGGTCCCAATGGCAGCCCCAAACCTGGAGCTGGACTCAAATCCAGTTCTGGTCCTGACTTCAGCTGTAAACATGAGGTTCTGGCCCTCCACAACAGCTGAGAGCAAAGCTGAGAGTATTACCACAGAGGAGACCCACACCCCAAGGCCCTTTTCTCAAAATGCACCGTGGTGGTAACGGAGGTAGTGGCCTAATGGCGGCAGTAATGGTAGCCTGGCAGCCTAGGGGGCCTGTCCATTCTTTATTCAGTCCCAATAAATTAAAGGGTAAGGGCGAGGGCAGGGCCTCCTAGGTGAGGATACTGCTGATGGAAGGCAGCATTGCAGCCAAACGCTCCGAGATGCCCTGTTCTTCGCACAGTGCGTTGCCCTGCAGGTCGAGGAGGACTAGCCTGGGACAAGAGGCAAGAGGCTGGAGAGTTGCAGACTGATGGAGGCCTTGGGCAGGAGAGTCAAGGAAAGCTCGGTAGTTCTACCCCACCCCGATGTCTGCTACTGACACCCCAAAACTAAACGCTGCTGCTTGGAAGCACGTTGGATAGTCTCTTATCCACGTCCCTGGAGAAAAAAAGCTCTTAGCAGAGCTTGGAAATGTCCGGCTAAGGAAGGGGTTGTGGGATCATCAGGTGTGGAAGGCTGGTGAGTGGCACTTACTATCCACAAGGGGCTTCTGGGTCAGAGGGGCTCTCTCCTCCCATTTTCAAGAGGAATCAGAGTTCATGATTTTTAAAAAATTTGGAACTTCCTGATATCTAGACTACTGTGTGGTTCCTAAGAATCTTACAGGTTGCCTATGTCTGCACCCTGGCTTAAGGAAGTTACACTTCACAGAACTCCAGAGTAAAAGCTAATAACAGTCCCAGACAGCACCAGGCTATCATCTCCCCTAGGTTTACCCTGCCCAAGCCCTGTTTCCTGCCCTGCCTTGAGATGACCCTGTCTGTGTCTGCGGTTTGTCTCTCTGTGGCCTGCTCCTCACCCTATGAGCTGTCTGCAAACCCGACAGAAGGATACGGTTATTGCATAGTACCAGCTCCTGCAGCCGGGGAAGGTTAGCCACACCGTCCAAGGACTCTAGGGCATTATCATTGGCCTGCAGCACCTGAGGAGCAGGAAATTGGGGAGATACAAGGTCAAACAGTCAGCCTGAGATGGGTACAAGCCATGGAGGAGCCCAGAGTGACCAGCTTAGGTATGTCAAAAAGCTCAAAGGGCCAGACTGGGCAGTAGAGTAGGCTGGGAAAGAAGTTACCTTCAGGAGCCACGAGGTCCTGGACATTGCTGTGACACAGGCAATTTTCTGAGTGGAAAAAGAGGAAAAGGGCCACCCCAGACAGCAAGGGAGGATGACCATTTACCTCAAGACAGCGCAGAGCACCCAGGGCTGGGGGCAGGGTTCGGAGACGATTATGTGACAGGTCAAGATGAGTGACCAAGAGCAGCTGCTCCAGGTGGCAGAGCACTGTCAGATCCTAGGAGTGGGGGAAGGGGTGGAAAACTCAGCAAGAGCTAGGAGATCTTTAGCCACCTGTCCTGTGTTCCACATGGACCTCAGAAGACTCTTGCTAGAGGCCAGCAGAATGTAAGAAGCACACAGAGCAATGCATACGAGCATAGGCCGTGTCAGGGAAGGGACAGACAAACGGTTATGGTGGGATGGCTAGTGGGGGTGGACAGGGAGAGGAACCCCAAGTATGGAAGGGACAGAGGACAGCGGCATGTTCTCCAGCACACAGGAAAGGGAGCAGGAGGCCTGAGGGGGCTGCAGTGAGGAGGCACAACTGATCTGTTAAGATGTCTAGCAAGGCCTGGCAGTGGTATGCACGCCTTTAATCCCAGACTCAGGAGGCAGAGGCAGGAGGATCGCGGCCAGTGAGTCTGAGGCCAGCCTGGTCTACAGAGAGAGTTCCAGGACAGCCAGGGCTACAGAGAGAAACCCTGTCGCAGACTAGGAAGGACGAGAAACAGAAAATCTCTGCAAACTGTTCAGGTTCCAGGCTTGGGGGCCCTGATCCAGGATGAGAAGCACGGGGAGGCACAGCATGGTAGTGAAGGGCCTTCTTACTTTTTTTGTTTTTCAGTAGTAGGAATTGAACCCAGGGCTTTCTATACATTGGGCAAGTGATCTACCAATGAGCTATATCCCTAGTACAGCTTTGATGACTCAGGATTCAGAACCAGGGAATACACAAGATGCTGAACTGACTGACTGACAAATAAAAATTTAAAAGAAAAACAAGCAAGACCTAGCAAAGGAGTAGGCCAAAAGAAAGGTGATGGGTTCATCCTGGTGGGGAGGAAATGTCTAGGAAGGCAGAGGTGCGACATGGTGACAACAGCAGGCAGAGGCCTCGAGAAGGACATGTGCTGAGCGCATACCTTGTTAGCCAGGTGCAGCACGCGCACCTCAGCATACTCCATCCGGAGGACGCTGTTCTCCAGCAGGAACTTGCTGCGCAGGTCATCCAAGTACGCTGCTCTCATTGGGTCCACAGCCTGGTGGGGACGAAGCAGATAGCTACGTGGGTCAGCTCTCTTCTACTCGCCCACCTGGCCTCCCCTGGCCCATTCCCCCAGGCCTAACTTGCTTTGAGGGTGTGGAAGTATTGCAGCGTCTCTTTCTCATAGAGGAGGGGGTCCAGGGCCCGCATCAGCAGGATGATGGTCAGCAGACACCCTGGGGAGAGGGCAGAGGAATCTTTACAGTCTCTTGAGACCCCGTCCTCAAGGAAGTTCGGTGGGCAGGTTTTCTCGGCGTGGTTCTTGGGAGCTGGCTCAGGGGCCATCCTCACATTTATTCTCAGGCTCCAGCTCCTGCAGCTCCTTACAGGATTCAAGCTCAGACTGCAGCACTGTGGACTTTTCCACCGACAGCTCACACCTGAG